CCCCCCTTCCCTCCCCCTCCCTCTTACTTTGCTCCGCGCCTCCGCGCCCGCGCTCACCCAGTCCATCGGTCGCCGCGCTGCTCTTGCTCCTGTCACTCTTTACCCTGTCGCCTTCCTTCTTCCAATCTTCCAATCTCTCAAAACCACTGGACAGTTGGATGGAAGGGTTGTTGGTAAGGTTTGGGTGGGGGTGGGGCTATGGGCCGATATGGCTTTGGCAGTTCGACTTCATTGCAAAATGTCCACGGCGTTTTCGTCGAGAGTGCTTTTGGATTTCCCTATCACTGTATACTTGAAGATAATCGCACAATAAGTTTTGTACATGGCGTTATCTTTTTTTTCGGCGGGTAAAGGAATGCCAAGCCGTCTTCTCAAATACCTACCGGCGGCGGCGCCCCTCGCAGCTGCTCACACAAGCGGGCGTGCAAGGCGCCGCGAACAGAACGGAACGATTGAACAGAGAGCCGACGGGCATACCCCCCCCCTCCCCCCTTTTTGTCTGCCAGGTACACGCACGCAGGGCTGTCGTGCCAATAGGAGAGCATGGCACCATCGCCTCCTGGCTGTTCGTTCGTCGGGCCCCACTTGTTCGACGCGGCCGCGTCCGAACATGAGCCACACTCACATTCCCTGCGAATGGCCCGCCCGCGCTTTTGTCAGTTCCCTTTCATTCAGGCGCCGGGTCGTTTCTCACGCAGCCCCGGCGGCCGCCTCTCTGTGGCCCCCCTGTTATTAGCCGACGAGTCCGGGCCGCCGCCGCCAGTGCCGCCTCATCCACGCGCTCGCAGAGTTCGTGTCCTCCAGACCAAAACCTCTCCTAGAGAACCGAGTCCCTGGAGCGGTGAGGCTCTACGACGCCGCGGCCGCGACGCCCGAAACGTAAGCGTAAGCCTTGGCATCAACGTGCCCGCGCTCGTGACTCCCACGCGCGGAGTTCGCTCGCGATCTCGCCATATTTCCTTCCCTGATTGGTCGCTCTGGTCCACCACTGTTTATTTTGTTGGAGTTCCCCCTGCTAGCGGCCGCAACGTTGGAAGGTTTTGAACAGGCGCCTGCGTAAAGGCGCTCGCGCATTCTTTGAAAACCTCACGATTTGAATCACCCCCCCCCCTCCTCCCCCGCCGCCGCTTGGCCGCCTTGTAGTAGCAGTGGGTCTAGTCGTGTTTCCAGGGCATACCAGGCTGGCTGGTTTGCAAGCATCTCCTCTCCAGGTCCGTGTTGGCAATTCAGTGGGTAATGTTGTTAACTACTCGACCCGCGCCCGCGCCGCGCGCGCTCACTCGCTTGCTCTCCCGCAGCTCCGCGCTCCCGCGCGCCGGCAAGAGGTGAAGCACTCTATCATCATTATCACCATCATCATAACTATTCATAATTATTACCAAGTGGGATGGGAAGCGCAATTTTTTCATTTTTTTATTTTGCACGGTGAGGATGTTTTTAAAAAAGAGGGGTAAAGGGGGCCGAGGGAGAAGGTGAAAAGAAATTAGAGCAAGCTTATTCGCAGAAATTTCTGCGCGGAGTGTAAAATGGCGAACGTATTGGCGTGCGTAGTGCACCTGCGGCATGCACAGCCAACACAAGCGGTGTGCGTGTGTGGAAGAGAAGAGGGGGAGGGGGGG